GCTTTATTGTTATTTTTAAAAATTTATTGCTTAGATTTAAAGATTTTATTTATTTATTTATTTATTTGAGAGAGAGAGTGAGTGAGTCAGTATAAGTAGGGGGAGCACTGGAGGGAGAGGGAGAAGCAGACTTCCCACTGAGCAGGGAGCCCGATGTGGGGGTCGATCCCAAGATCGTGAGATCATGACCTGAGCCGAAGGCAGACACTTAACTGAGTCACCCAGGCGCCCCGGGGCTTTCTAGTTATTAAGCTATGTTTTGGAACGCACTGAATTGTGCATAAAGACACATTATGGGCAGAGCAACTACGGCGCAGGGTCACTGAAGGGGGCAGCGCAAGAGGACGCAGGAAAGAGCCAACGTCAAGGTCTCCTGCAGGATGTGCCTGTGGGACATTTAGGATATTTATGGTGACTACTTTCCTTATACTGCTTAGAGGACAATCCCTTCTTGTTTGCTCCTGAATCCTTGGTTTTGTCTAAACGTTGATATAATTTTATGTTATTATAGGAAGACATGGAATCAAAAAAGGGTCAGCAACTCCCGGGAAGAGGGTCCAGGCTATAGAACATTCTTTCCTACTAAGGAAGGGTTGGACAAACGGACAAACACTTGCCAAACACCTGACCTTTAAGAGTCTCCTTCCTTTGCCTATGGGCCTTGGGGAGCTTAACGGCCACTGAGATTCATTCACTGGGGGAAGAAACGCATCAATCCATTAGTTTTTAGGTAAGTGATGCCAAGTTTACTGGCGCTGAAAACAGTTCTAGATATAAAATGTACTTTGTTTTCCAGGGTATTACCACTCTCCGGCAGTCAGAAGATTTCACAACGGGCCAGATATTTCTGTGTGTGAGCGAGTGTGTGCGTGAGCGTGTGTGTGTGATTTCTTTCTTGTTCGGTTTCCAAAGCCCTGGCTGTATTCACAGTCTTCCAGAAGATCGGTGTCAGGTCACAACCCCAGCGTGAACCGTTACCTCTAGAGAGCAGAGTTTTATCTGGCACGGAAAACTCACTGGTGGGTTTTCTAGATACATGTTTATTTGCAGTTCAAAGACAAAATAGAAAACTCCAGAGTGGAAAATGCTACCTTTTAGTTCACACTCTTTTAATCCCTCCGTCCCCATAAAATAAACTTTCTGAAGTGTAAGCAGTGGGAAATAATGTAAACTGTGCAGAAACGGAAAATAAATTAGTTTCTTTCAAACTCGGTGGAGGTCCCTTTACCGGACAGCGAGCTTGGTTGCACACAGAATTTGGTCTTGAACAAAGAATAAATCTTTGGCCTATTTCCCCATTGCTCCCGTGTTGCGTAAGAGGCATATTTCAAATTCACTTTCTTCTCCAACGGCAGCAAAAAGGCAAAGAGTAGTCTGTTTCGTGAGCCTGGAAGACAAAAACATGTTTCCGGGGGTTTAAGAACAGCTTTTTACCCTGTGGTGTTAAACTGTTACTCGGGCTCTAAAAAGCTGGAAACTGAAAGAAAATTTGACAGCCAATAAGGGATTCTCTTCACAAGACAAGGCCGGGATCCCTGTCTGGAGTCTTTTTGCTTAAGAGCCACGGAGAAGCCCAGGGTGTGCGACCGGGACCACGCACACTGCAGGCAGCGAGCCGAGCCCCGAGGCGATCAGGCAGAAATTCCAAAATTCTAAATTTGGGCTCTAGTCTCTAGGATCCTGCTGAGTGAGAACGCTCGGGATTTTAGAGATTTTAGATTAGGAATCCTGTTGCCTTGGATTTTGGTTTTTCTTATGGTCTTATGGCACAGAAAGTGAGGTCTGAAAAATGCATTTAGGGCGCAAATGGAAGGGAGAAGGTCCGGACCTTCTTACTGATGTCGAAGCTTTCTTGTTTCCTCTCAAAGAATCTTAAAACTCCGACGCGGCCGGAACCTGTCATCTGCTTGAAGGAGAAGTGGTCTAACTACATTTTACAAAGAACAAACACACACCCGAGTTCCAGAAAACACATGGTCACCACTGCAGCAGGGACTGTAAAGGTGGGTGTTGGGCTTTTACTCTGAATGTATGCATGGAGGAGTTGATCTGCGGGGCCAGGAGTTCACACTGGGCAGGAGAACAGCGAGTCGGCCTCCCACCAACGAGGGAGGGCTCTGGAGCCGGAAAGGATGTTGGCTTAGCTTCAGAACCCAAGACAGTGACGAAGACAGGACACCGGGAACTCGGGATACTCCCTGAGCATCTGATTCAAGTCAGGGAAGTACACAGAAAACAGACGCCTGGCAAGCATAATCATCATTAACAAAAAAATATTTTTTGCGGTGAGGAAGGGAGGTGTTTGCCTGGTGTGAACCGCACCCCCTTCACTTCCCCCTTAGAGAGGTGGCTGGTCTCATTCAGTGGCTCTGGTTCTCCCTGACCTGAGGCTCCGTGAGGCCTGTGGAGGAAGGGAGGTGGTGGGCTTCATGGACTGGAAATAACCCAGGGAGGGCAAGTCTGGAAGAACCTTCCAAATCTGTGCGTGCTAAAGACCAGCTGATTAGCCGCGTGACCTTAGTATCCAGTGGTTTAGTGTTTAAAGGGGCCTAGAGTATGTGGTTCCAGGTCTTAAGAAAAGGCAGAATGTTGGCAGAAGTACAGAAAGTCTGAATACAGATTTTACGAATTGGAAAAGCAATCGCTATGGTGAGAATTTAAAAAGGAATCAGCTGTTCATTGTTACCCAGTTATTCAGGGAAAAAAATAAAACAATTTCAGAATTTTACGAAGATAGAACATATGAAACATTCTATCTTGGTATGGGATTGATAAGAAACCAAAGCATACCCAAACAAGTTTCTTCTTTTTTAGGGGGGTGGGGTGGGGGAGGGGGTGAGTGAGCGAGAGAGAGTGTGAAAGTGGGCAGAGGGACAGAGGGAGAGGGAATGTTAACCAGGCTCCACACCCAGCGTGAAGCCCAACTCAGGGCTCGATCTCACGTCCCTGAGATCATCACCTGAGCCCAAATCCGGTCGGACGCTTAACTGACTGAACCCCCCAGGCATCTCCAAAAAAGTTTCTTTAAAAGGGAGCTAAGAACTTCCCACCTATTAAGCTTCAAAATATTCCATTTTAGTTCGACAGATGTCAGTGAGATGGTAAAGATGGCATCGCTGATTCTGTCCCCACCATCTTTTATTTAAGTGGCCTGGGCTTCCAACTGCGTACTCCAAGGATGGCCCGGGATGAAACACTGACCTACCTCTTTCTTGGAGCATAATCGTGATCAGTGGTTTTTGAGTGGTTCCTTGAAAAGATAGTTTCAGTGAGCCCTGACTGTTGTTTGTAAGTGACGAATCACTGAATTCGACTCCAGAAACCTACATTGCATTGTATGTTCCCTAAATAAAAGTTGAATTAAAAAAAAAAAAAAAAAGGACCCAAAGCACAGAGCCCAGATGCTACCCTTGGGAGCCCGAAACCCTGTGGTTTATAGACTGGGGATGACAAACCCTGCCCAGGGAGGTCTGCGGCAGCAACTGCACTCAAGATGAATTTATGATTACTTAATATCATCGAACATTCCTGCTCTGAAGGCAGCTGTTTAGGGAGAAATGAGCAGGTATGACACTCTTTTTTTGCAGGTGCAATTCTAGAAAAAACCTTCTTGGTCAATAACGAACATCTAGACGAGGGCTAGAGTCAGTCTGATGCTGGACTCTAGCCAACCACCCTTGGGGACAAAGGGAGTACGTGAATTCTTCAGGAAATCTACCGGACTTTAGAGTGTCTGCCTGGAGCCCACTGAGACTCAGATATAGGGTAAAGGTTCAGAATGAGATACCATTCTGAAGGGGAAGGGGAAGGAGGGGAAAAAGTCCAGTCCGAGTCCAGTCATCTTCAAACAAAAGACTAAAGAGTATCGTGGCAGGGTCCGATCCATTGGGACAAACGATGTATTTTAATTAGTTGCGTCTGGTGTCGTGGAGAAGAAGGAATCGGGCCCTTCTTCTGACAACAGTGAAGGCACCACAGGGGAGCCCCGGAAAGGAGCAAGAGCTCAACTCTGGGGACTTCTTGGCATCTCCTGTTCGTATGGAGCCTCACGCGATTTCCTTAGGGTGAGGTGAGCAGGAGAGGAGAGGACGGGGAAGGAGACTAACAGTTGTCAGCAGACGTCAGCCTTCCACGGGGCAGACGGCAGCAGGGGCCACGAAGAAGAGTGAGCGTGCGGCTTCCAGCCGAGTGCATGGAAAGATCTGGAGTCCGACTGCCACGGGAGCAGAGCAACCAACCAGACCTTTATTTCCTCTTCCGATGCCCAAATCTGTCTCAGCTGACTGTCATCTGAATGTTCACATTTTTATATTTTTTACTGTTAACAGCCACAGACCTTCAATGTCAGTAGAGGTGGTCCCTGACTGACACGTGCATGAGGGCACAGGAAACAGAGAGGCTGTCTGTGGGTCATTATACTGAGGAGTCCCGGGGGCGCCTGGGTAGCTCAGTCATTAATCCCTCAGCTCATGATCCTCGGGTCCTGGGATCGAGTCCCGCATCGGGCTCCTTGCTCACTGGGGTGTCTGCTTCTCTCTCTGTCTGCCTCTGTCTCTCCCCCTGCTTCTGCTCTTTTGCTCTCTCTCTCATATAAATAAATAAAATCTTAAAAAAAAAAAAACCAAAAACAACAGAAACAACAACAAAGAGTATATCAAGGCGTCCCCGAGAAGGAATGTTTGCTCTGCACGGTGGTGTTCTCCCGTGACACCAGATCTGTCTTCAGGGCTGCAAGCAAAAGGGTCAAGTGATGGTTTTTGAACCACTGCCCAGCGAGCCTAGAAATGGCGTTGGGCAGCTCAGGAGAGGAGGCTTGGAGGAGAGAGTGGGAAGGGAAAACAACATTCAGGGAGAGACAGCCCTGTTATAAAAGAGCTTGGACAAAGTCATCGCTTTTAATACCCAAATAACTGTCTTTTGTTAGAAAAAAAAAATTACCTGGTGATCCCCAAATTACAGGTCTGCTCAAATAACCGTTTGCCATCTTCTAGAACAGGCCAAAGTTCCCTCACTCTGTGACTGAGGCGCAGAGGGCATCCTTTGGCCTGGCCGTAAGGACGGGGTGAGCGAGTGAGCAGATCCTGGAGGAGCCTGGGCGTTCAGGTCTATCAGCTGTGCAGCGGGAGCACGCTGCTGGCCTCCCCGGGCCAGAGTTTTCGTGGCACCGAAATAAAACTGCTCACCTCGCTGGACTGATGCCAGCATGACATGCGACAGGGAGGCGAGGCGACCGGTGCCAGCCATGGGAGGAGTGGCGGGCAGAGCAGGGGAAAGAGCCCTGTGGTCCTGTGGGTCGGGGCAACTGCTCAGCTGCGGGCTCTCAGCGCGCAGGGGAAGCGCCTGCCTCCAGGGGGCGCTGTGGCCACCCAGGCGAGGGGCTTAGCACCCGGCCCAGCATGCCAAGGAGATGTGCACAGGCCAACCTCCGAGCCTCTAACCCCGAGCTTTCAGTAAACGCCGAGGGAACACAAGCCTAAGGATCTAAGTGTCCGTGACAGCAAAGCGAAGGACGTGTCCCTGGGTGTTACCCGAGTCTTAACTGCAATGATGAAGGCATAATTTGGTTTTTAGCACCTTCTTGGAGGACAGATGAAAATGGACCCCAAGGGTGGGAAAGTACTGTCCGTGAGAGGCGAAGGGCGACACACACTTGTTCTGGGGAGAAGTGACACACGGCAGCGGCAGAGCATGACGGGTTCTGGACGTGAAACACACAGTGCCACCCGAAGACCAAATGACACCATCATCCAGGCTCCCGTCCACAGGCTTCTTGGGTAAATCAGTCCCCCGGGGTTCCTTTGGTGGAGTTTTCTTTTTCCGAACTGACACAAATATGAACCGTGGTTGTGGTTCAAAGTGAACGCAGCCCCCGCTCCTCGGTGACAAACACATGTAGTCACCACCAAACACCACACACCGACAGCAGACACTTGCGCGCCTGGGGTTAAAGCGATTTCACAGAGGTCCGGTCGCTACCCCTCTCATCACAGCCTAGCTCTCCGGCGTCTGTTAGTGACAAGGACTCACACAAGAAGAAAGCCACGTCCCCACGCGGACTCCTGGCCGTGAAGCCAACGAAAGTGAGAATTCCGTCTGCCTGGCTCAGGGCCAGCACTCGGGCAACCGGAGAAAACGGTCTTCAGGTCAAGTCAGCTCGTCAGGCAGGCCCGCGGGGTGCCCGCAGCAGGGAGGGGTGCCGGGCTCGGGAACAGCGACAGGAGTGAGCGCGGAGACTGCACGGGGGCCGTTTGGGAAAAGGAATGTGGCTTGAGAACACGGTGAGGACACGTTTGATGTATGGGATGAAGAAAAGCAGAAAAGCCTTGACAACTGCTGATGGGGAGTCTTCCAGGCAGCCCGGGAGGCTGGCCATTTCTCTTCAGGAAGGGAAGCGAGGACAGGAGCCGGCAGGTGTGGCGGCAGGACCGAGGGGGAGACAGGAGTAAGACCAGGGACCTCCCACAGCTCAGGGCTGCCTACGGGACCTCCAAGTTGGGCCCAGTCCCCTTAGGCTGTGTGGACCCTGAGAGGCCAAGGAGTCTCATTTCTGCTGCTCTGTCCTTCCTATGGCTCGCTGGGCCCTCTGCGTTAGAGGACCTGTCCTGTCTCCATGTGTCTGTCTGGTGGGTAAGAGCCGAGTGTCCCTGTCATGTCTACGCTGAGTGTTACAGGTTAGATTGTCCCCGACTAGACAGGCCAAAGTCCTGACCCCCAGGACTGAGCCGGGTAAGGTCTCTGTAGATGTCACCGAGTGAAGATGCGGTCAGTGAGGTGGGCCCTGATTCCATGTGACAGGAGCCCACGGGAAGACAGAGCGACACACAGGGAGTAGGCCTTGGCCGTGCAGGTGGAGACGGAGCAGTGTGGCTTCAGCGGAGGGACGTCGAGGGTTACTGGCAGCTTCCAGGAGGGAGAAGAGGCCAGCGCGGACTCTCCCAGAGTCTCAGGGGGGGCAGGACTAGGCTGCCACCTTGACTCCGGATTCTAGCCTCCAAGAGCACAGGAGAAGCCACTCCTGTTGTTCTGAGCTGTCCTGACGTGTGACGTGGTGACAACAGCCCCACAGGGAAGGAATGCACCCCAATTCCTCCGTCAGGGAGTCTGCTTCTGTGCCAAGAGAGGGCTGGTCGGAAGCTTGAGTTCGGCTTTTAAAATGACCGCAGACACAGCAGTCCCCTGCGGGGGCAGATTCGCCTTCCTCGGCTTTGGTTATGTGCCGGCCTTGCGGTCTGGAGCACACAGGCCTCCCACAGGTCAGAAGGTCAACAGCAGCCTAGGGCTCTGTCATGCACCTACGTCACTGCCCTCATGTCACCTCGTCACGCAGCCAGAGTCATTTTATCATCTTCATCACATGAGGAAGGGCGAGGGCAGGACAATAAGGTATTTTGAGAGACGGAGAGAGAAGGAGCACATGCGTCAATGTCGATTCCGGCGCTCTGTTCCGATGACTCTGTTGCTAGAGCTGTGGCGGGTAACTCTTACTGCGCCTCGTTGTCAATGAAACTCGAGCACGTGCGAGCCCGCGCCCGCGAGAGCACGTCATACCCGGTGTGCGGTGCTGTCCGTGGTCGCAGGCGTCCGCTGTGGGCCGCGACGGGGGTTGTGTGCCTTACAGTGCGGCCATATGAGTAAGGACGGGCACTCTGCCAGCTTTAATTCTGGAAATATTCTTTTTATGAGTTTACAGTGTTCTTTTTTTTTTTTTTTTTTTAAAAGATTTTATATATTTACTTGAGACAGAGAGAAAGCAAGAGACAGAGCATGAGCGGAAGGAGAGGGAGAGGCACACTCCCCGCCGAGCAGTGAGCCCAACTCGGGGCTTGATCCCAGCACCCTGGGATCGTGACCTGAGCTCAAGGCAGATGCTTAACTGACTGAGCCACCCAGGCGCCCCATAAGGTTCCTTTTTTTGTGGCAAGAGATGCCTTCAACAAATCTATACCCAGAGGGGACATAATGTGACTTGCGCTGGATAGGAGCCCATCTAACTGCATATCCACCTCTAGGAGTGGCCCAAGCCGCAGGCTCTTATTATGTAGGAATTCTCAGTAACCAAGTCAGGAAACGACTTATCAGATCGCGTTTTGTAGTACAATCTAGAAAACCCAAACAAAATAAAACTAAAAAGTATTTGGGGGAGGGGGAGAAAAAGCCAGTAGAAAGCACAGCAGCCTACCTGAGTCAGGTCCTGCAGAAGCTGGGTTCATTTAGAACAAGCCTTTAACTTGCTCGGTGTCTGTATCAAGATCTATATCATAGAAGCAGGGCCGGGTCGGCAGTCCCGGCATGGTGCTCATCTAGGGGAGAAAAAAGAACACACTCTCTTAGCAGATGGTGCAAAGCGATCACTCCAAACACGGAACACAGAATGGCCAGAATTCCCTACGTGACTCAACAGTGCCACCCACACCTTTAGGTCCCATACACCTGTATTTTTTTTTTTTTTTAAAGATTTTATTTATTTATTTGACAGACAGAGATCACAAGATTTATTTATTTGACAGGCAGAGAGGCAGGCAGAGAGAGAGAGGGGGAGGCAGGCTCCCTGCTGAGCAGAGAGCCTGATGTGGGGCTCGATCCCAGGACCCTGGGATCATGACCTGAGCCAAAGGCAAAGGCTTTAACCCACTGAGCCACCCAGGCGCCCCCACCTGTACTCTTTAAATTCGCCACCTGCTATTTCAATCTTTGTTCAGGAAATGGAATAGAAGAGGCAGATGTCCACCTCCTGGAAACGGAGACCACTTCTCTCCCCCCACGACCCCACAGAACATGGCTGCGATGCTGATTTCCAAACCCTTTCTTTCTAAATCACATCCTTAAAAAAGATGAGCCCCTTTGGATGAAGGGGCCAGTATGAGAGGGTGAACCAAACAACAGTTTCCTCCTCTCCCCCAATACATGTTTTTGTAAAACCTACAACTCGTGGAGGGCAGCTGGGAAACCTAAGACCAGTGACTGAGGTTTATGACACACCAGACGCTGGGCCAAGTTTCTCTTTTTTGACCCTCCCAACAACCCTGTGAGGTACGCACTTTCCTTATTTCCTCGCCACGAGGAAGGACGCCAAGGTTTACGGAGGCTAAGCCACTTGTCCAAGGTCACAAGTGATAAGCCGCAAAATGGGAAACTGGACTCCAGGCCCATAACCTCAGATGACTCACTGAGCCACCACCACGACCGCCGGGCCGCCCTGTGGGTTTGTGGGTTTTACACCGCTAACTTAGTTAAGTCCCCGGCCACGCTGAGAAGTAGGTACTGACTTCAGCCCCACTTTCCGGAGAAGACAGAGGGCATTCAGGCACAAAGGCAGGGGCTCGAGGACATCCAGCACGTCAGTGGGGGACACAGGATTAAACCCAGGCCCCCGCTCCTCGTAGCTTTGCCGCACTCTGTCCAGATCAGGGTTTAGTGAAGTTTGTCTCTGCCCCCTTGCACCAGAAACCCTTGGCATCCTGGGGAAAACTGCTGACTCCCTGGGTGACTCACACACTAAAACACAGACTAGGACCTAGATTGTGAGGCTCCTGGATGATCTACTCCTTATTATTTCAGTTTTTCCTACTATGCTTTAATATTGCACTTTTCACAGCAAGGATGCTCGAAAAGCAGTGCTGCACGCAGTCCTGTGGAGGAGAGACACCTGGGACTGTGCTTGGCTTTGCTCTTTGAGGATGACGTGCTGTGTCTTGCAAAACTCCTGCCTGTCCTGGCCGGAGACCATTTTAGAGAGCTGAGGCTGTGTAACAGCCAGCACTTACAGCTCCACGGTCCGCCCACGTCTTCCCGCCTGGCAACAGAGCTCAGCTCTCTCACTTGCTTGGGCACTGACTTGGAGTCTCCGCATCTGCCATGCGCCACCCCCCCCACAACCCCTGTCCGTGATGCTGCCAGCCTCTTGCTGCTCGTACACGGGTCTGTGGACCAGGAGCATCGACATCACTGGGAGCATCTTCGAAACCTCAAATCTCAGAACCCGTCTCAGGCCAGCTGAATCAGAATCTGCAATTTCAGCAACACCCCTGTGATGTGTGTGCATGTAACCATTTGAGAAGCATCGCTTGGACTACGTGGCTGGGGAGGCCTCCTTTTGCACTGGGAAGGGGGCTCCCTCGGGTAGAAGCGGTGAGGAGGGAGGGGCCCAGAAACACCTGCTGCACCTGACAGCCGTGCACCTGTTGGCCTGGTTAAGCCCCTGCTCCCCAAGAGTGCAGTGAGGGGGCCACGGGGCGCGCTCCCTGTGCAGCTCAGTGTACTGACACCGTGCTGCGCGGTGGTGAGCTCCTGTCTTATACCTGCACGGGATTGCGCTTTAGGTATGTTGTGGGCGGAAAAGGCTTCTGAGGCCGGCCTGGAATACGGCTACCATTCGTAACAGGTCTTGGAGAAAACGTGCTCTGCATTCCGAACCAGTAGCTGCAAATAAAGTTTTGGCACACGGCCTGCTCCCTGTGTTTTCAAACTCCACTGATGTGGACGGCGATGTGTCCTTGTTAAGTTCCTGTTCCTGGCGGAGCAGTACTATTTTTCTCTGGTTGCTATAGTGGCTGCACATATTCGGAAGGATCCCAGGGAGAAACCCAGGCTCACTCCGCCGGCACCAGACACCAAACACAGAGGCCACTGGGGGCAACGGTTGCTACTTGTTGCCAGTCGTCAGTGTCCAAGTCCCCGCAGGGACTTCCTAGCCATTTTCCTGCCTAACTTCACTCCAACGTTGGCGATGCCTTCCCAATGTGTGCAGGCATGTGGATCTGGGCAAAGGAACTAGCAGTTTATAGCTGAAGAAATGACTGATCATTTTCAGTCACAGTGATGCTGCCCCATCCTGTGAATCAACTCTGGAGGTCAAAGGCACATTTAGTCCTAAGAACGTCACCCAGACTTTGCTGCTTTGCAGACCGCCAAGCTACTGCGCCCCGAGCAGACTTCGGTGGGAGGCAGGCCTGCCTCCACACACGGTGAGAAGGCCCAGGAAGAACCCTGTGCAGCGCGGCCCACCCGACCGAAGCCACAGTGGCGGCTTCTGCCGGAGGGAACACAATTCCACTGCCTGCTCGTCTGTGCTCTTTTTCTTGACATGAAAATTCCACATTTCCTCGTTAACTTTTTAAGCTGATATCAGCAGAACAGAGGCTGGCAAAGGTAGAGTGTGGCTCATGTTGTTCCTGGAGCTGGCCTACTGGCCGCAGTGAAGCCAAACACGCATCTCTTTGGTCATTCTGATGCTTTCAGAGCAAAACGGGGAACAAAAAGGAGCCATGATATTAAATGCTGGGAGGTGTGAAATATGTTTCCTCTATGTTCAACCCATTTCTCTCAGATGGGGGAAAAGAAGTTCAATCAGAAGACTCCCATGTTCCTTTCCAATTACGCAATCGTCGTTTCCAAGAATCAGGACCAGCAACACAGACAGGAAGGCACACAGTCTGAAGAGACAAGGGACTCCCTGCCCCATGGACAGACAGCTAACCCCCGGGGAATCTACCTTTAAAATAAAACTTCTCCTGCTGAGCAGATACAATATGGAATGATGTTAATGAGACCTAATGCACTCACATCAAATTCTCTCCCACTAAAAAATTCTGTGATCAAGGGCTTGTGGCCCCAGACAAGAGTCAGAACTGTAGTATGGCAAAGAAAGAATTTGGACAGCCCTTAGGAATTGACCTCTGGCCCCTCGCCTGGGGTCAGAGGTGATCTGTGTTGACTTTATTTGTGCGTCCTCTAAGAAGGCCCCTGGCTTAAAATAACGGGGGAGCCACTAAATTGTACTTACTTGTCACGCTGCATTAATGGATTCTTTTACAAAGGCTGAAAAACATGGGCTTTTGCCCTTCATGACCCCAATTTTAACTACAACAAAGCTTCCAAATCCTTTCTGATTTTGCGTTAAGCTTATTTTGTAGAAACGACGAGTTCTATGATATAAACATATGTTAAACCTAAAGAGAAAATACTCATATCCTTAAAAGTAGCCATTGTAAGTCAAAGAATACTCTCGGGCATCAGTAGAAAAATGACTACAAATTCTGTTACTTGAAGTGATAGAATCGTTACGTTCTACTTAACTAACGTATCATTGTAGTTTTGTTGTGTCTGCGCAGTTTTTTGACTTCTCCTTAAATCTACTACTTTTCATACTGAATAAATCACCCAGTTTCATTTTGGTTTAGAAAGAAGCACTTTTGCTCACAACTATTTTTTTTATTCTTGTAGCTTATAATCCGGGGCGGAATCCCTTCTACACACTTCTTCCCTTCCTCCAAGAGATGACAGAGCACGGTTGGTAAATATCATGTTGGCGCAAAAATTTGAGAATCAAATGCAATGGTTAACTACCATGGTTAACTACATTATGATATAAATTAAATAAAAAGATTCTTACGAAATAATAACTCAAAAATGTAAATTCCTTATTCAGCCGAAGTATTTTCTGAGCTGTAACTGTAGTGTCCTCTGCTTCTCAACCTTTTGGCTAAGATCAAGCTTAAAGACAGTGCCTGGTAATATCAAGCCTCAATAAATACTTTTTTAAAAACAGATGAGTAAAAATGGAGGATAATTAGGAAATTAGGATAATGAGTGAATTAGGAAACAAGCAAAAAGAAACGTTCTTGAGGATGGGGTTTTTTTCTTTGTTTCTTCCCTTTGTCTTTGAATATGAAATTAGCTACTCCAGGATGAAGCGTAAGGAAAAAATGGTGGAGTGTAGATGTCCAGTGACTGAAAGAGAGGGGTATGAAAAATCACTCTAATAAAGACAGATACTGCTGCTACCACTGGAATTTCCATTTGCCTGACTTGGCGGAGATGGATGTTCTGGGATTTTTTCCCTGGGCTTTTAGGTAACATTCACCTGCACAGCTCGACCACATTCCAAATGTGATCTCTGGTTTAGTGGCTAGCGATACTCCGAGATCGTGGGGGTATGTCCTACTGGGGGCCCATGAGGTCCTGTTCCTGTGTGAAGGGATGAGGTGTGTTCCATTCAACTCAGCAACCTATGCTGAGAGCTCACTATGGGGACACGAAGGTGACCGGGACCTGGTCCCCACTTCCAGATGGACAGACCAATAAGTAGACCACTGGGCTATCTGGACCAAGTCACCTTACTTTTTAGTTAAAAAAATTTTTTTTCATTCTATGATTTTTATATAAAAAGAATTTTGTGTAATAAATTCTTAACGTATGACTTTCTAAGACGTAAGTCATGTTCGGTTACTCTAAACATTACCATACTGTGCTCACATATCGTGCCAGGATTACACAGCTGAGATTACTCTGATTTATGTCC